CCCCAAAACCCCAAAACCCCAAAACCCCAAAACCCCTTAATAATACATTTCTCTTGAATTTGAGGTTTAATAATAATATTTACATCTTTTAATATGGAAGATGATGCCCCAGAGACTCACTCAGGAACTAAAGAAGAGTCTAAAGATATTGCTGAAACACGGTTTGATCTGAAGACAGAGCTGGTTAAAAGTCTGATTTTGAAGTATAACTTGGATAGAGTTAATTTGGAGGATATAAATGTTGATAAAGGAAAGCCCATACCTATTCACTACAACTCTAATAAAAGCACCAATCCTTATTTATTAAGTGAGGTCTTAAGAGTTTATAACATTTACCCTTCCTTTTTCAAACTTGTTGCTAAATGTGAGAGTTTTAAAAGATTGAGAAAAGCCTGAGACTTTTTGTGTAAACATGGTCATAAGCCTAACATTGAAGAACTCAGGCTCGTATCTTCCAAAGTTAATACCTTAAATTCTTGCTCTAGATCTTTCTCGCGGATCGTTCAGTTCGTGACCAACATAATAGAATTTACAAAATTCTTGATTCCTAAAAAGGATTTTGAATCTCTCATGTTCAGATGAAGGCATGTGTCCAGAATCGAACTGTCTTCATGAGCTATTGAAGTCCATGGGCTCAAGTTCAAAAGTTCCTGAGAATACAAAACTGGATGTGTAATGATGAACCAGAGCCAACTATTCAAAGATTACAAACCCTGAGATGTCTGAGAAGGCTATGAATGTATTGTTAAAGCCATTTCTGACTGCTCACTTCAAAAGTCTTTACATACATTCTATCTTAGAAAATGAGGACCTGAATGGAGGAATGTTATAGATATGTTTAAAAGATATGGCTGAAAAGGAATCGATGTTGCATGATCAGAGAAATTCTAACTAAATTGCTTTACCAGTTTGTCACAGAAATACACATAAATATGATAAATCTGACATCTGTTCAAGTCTTTTTCAATAACATTCTAAAAATTAGGGGTTTTGGGGTTTTGGGGTTTTGGGGTTTTGGGG